TAGAAAATGTTGCCAGGACAACAGATATCTGCTCTGCAGTAAGCAAACTCCCACCAAAATAAAATACCCTAGCAGTTTTGTGATACCATGCTCAATCGGTAACAACTTTGTAGGGCGAGCTCTCATTGACTTAGGGTCAAGCATAAATTTGATACCAAAGTCTATATTTTTAAAACTAGAAGGATATAAGTCTTACCAAGCCACAATTAGCTTACAACTAGCTGATCGGTCTTATGTGCGTCCTGAGGGAAGAATAGAAGATGTCATTGTGAAGGTGAACAAATTCGTATTTCCAGTTGATTTCCTCATATTGGACCGTGAAGCTGACGAAAATGCACCTATCATCCTTGGATGACCCTTTTTGGCCATTGGACGAATCCTAATTAATTGTGAGAAGGGAGAATTCACGATGCGGGTAGGAGAGCAAAGTGTCACAATCAATGTATTCAACTCCATGAGGTATGCGGACGATTCAGAAGAATGCCAATGCATTAAAGACATTGACTCAATGGAAGAAGAGGAAAAGACAATACTTGGTCACGGTGAATTTTTAAAGATTGACGGATACAATACTTTGTGCCACGATTTGATGTCCATAACGCATCAGCACGAAAATCATGGCTCAGGCAAAAAAATTTCAGAAGACAATTTTGATAACTATGGCCTTAACAACAGATGTTTGACTAAAGCACTAAAAGGATTCCCCGCCAATAACACCAAAATGGATTATGAAGGAGAATAAGAGGAAAATCTAGTTACCTTCACATAAGACCAGTATGAAATTCGAACCTGTAACACCCCTTACCCATACTCCACTCTGATACGACTCTAAGGTGTCACATTTGACTTTTCAAAATATATGCAATTCACAAATAGGAACGAAATTAAAAATTTTAATCAAAATAAAAGGTATAAACCTCTTTAATAAGATCTTCATTTCACATACATTTTTACATAAAATCTTAATAATTTATATAAAACCAAAATGTAGGAGTCTACAAAACCGATCAGAGCATTTCAAACTAAAAGTATTATACATGCCAATAGTTTACAAAATTAACACAAAAACTTACATTTAATTTGTCCTGATCTGATCTTCCTGTGATATGCTATCCTCCACAACTCATTCATCTGCTTTCTTCAAATTTACGTGTGAGAACATCACACGCTAAGTCGATGACTTAGTGAGGCAAATACTAAGGGTACTAATCTTAATAATCGAATTAGTTTATAAAGAGTTGTAACTTCTTTTCCATATCCCAAAGGTATACATATGTATATATATATATATATATATATATATATATATATATATATATATCACTTTATTTAGCTTGATTTCAAATGCACATGGTATACTACTAAGAACTCTAGGTATTTAAGTACTATGATGTTGTGCACTAATGATGTCATCACAGCTCGTAATTTGCACAGAAGTGCCACATAATTATCCCGAAGGACCACATAGGTTTGCATTGGAGTGTCATGTAGGGTTGCAGTAAAGTGCCACATATTTGTCCCGAAATGCCACATAATTTTCCTAGAGGACCACATAAAACCCTCGATGCTTTGCATGCCAACTATACCTCTAATTATCATACATATACTTTGGGATATTAATCATATAATTTTGTTCAATCATTAGTCAAAGTGTTTATTATTCACATAACATCTCTCTCATAGAGTCTTTTCACATTCACTTGTTCCAAAGTTCACATTGCCAAATTTATATAACCATAAAACATAACTTGCATAATATAAATCGAATAATATACTGCAATATAACATAAAAGAAATTATAAAGTTTTCGATCGAAAACATTGAGGCTGGCTTATCGCAAGCCTTCCTCAATTCTGTTACAAAACCGAAAAGTTGCACTCACCTTTGCCTCACTGAAGTCTAATCCAAATCCTTAACCTTTTCAAATCGATACTCAAAATGCCGAGCCGACCGGAAGTTGATTAAGTTCAATCACTACAGAAAATAATCAAAAATCAATATCGTTCTTCGAATCATTTATATCCAATCAAAATAACTTATGATGCAAGAAACTCTTACTTTCCATTTCATGCCCAGAAGTATCGGTACTACCCCTCCAGTACCGATACTTCCCTTCAAGGGTATCGATACCTACTCAAGGTACCGATACCGATTTGGCATTCTGTAATCGCATCTTAAAAATGGTATCGATACCATCCTCTTGGTATCGATACTACCCTCATAGTATCGATACTATCACAAATGGTATCGATACTACCCTTAATAATTATACAGATTTATCCTTTGAAGTATCAATATTGTTCTAACGGTACCGATACTCGAGCCCAAAATTGCCATTTTTTGTTCGAAAATAACCCAAAATCCTGTCAAATCTATTATATCATCTTTCCTTAAGCCTTTAAACTAAACTTCTTTCGCCTTTAAATTAAACTTCTTTCATTCAAACCAACTTGTCATCAATCACTACTCTTAAACATACCAAATTCTCACTAAAACACTTACATTTAAGAATCATACAATGTTTTCAACCAAGCTCTTAATCATTTATAATACTCTTAAACCTTTAATTAGCTCATTGACAAGTCAAATTTCTCTTTAAAACTTCAAACACTACTCCATATCAAAATTTCATTTCTAAACCCATTTTATAAATCCCTTCCTAATTTAGTCATCTTGTTGTTTTAATCCTATATAAGCTTTCCTTAAGCTTATATAATACACAAAATTTCATTACCAAACCAAAAAGTAAAGGAAAACCATAGATTTTAGAATTTTACCTTTAAGAATGGAGCTCACGTAGAAGAAGAAGAGAATAAGGAATGAGTTTCCAGATAACTCTCAGAACCCACGTGCCAATCACCTAATAAAGGAAATACTTATCCTTTAATATGAAAAGACCATATTGCCCTCTCTAATATATCAAATTTTCCAACAACCCCTATACAAAAATTCCACCATAAATCCTTAAATTTATCAAAATTTTCTAATTCAGCCACCGAGTTTAAAATTCTTACATTTTAACCACTGACCCAATAATTAGGATGTTACAAACATCCCCCTAAAGAAAATGCATCATCGAATTTTCATTGCACAAAGAGGTGGGGATATTGCTTCCTCATATCTTCTTCACGTTCCAACGTAGCTTCTTCTACTTAATGGTTTCTCTAAAGAACTTTAACTAGTGGAATCGTCTTATTCTGCAATTGCTTGCTTTCAAAAGCTAGAATCTGCACCGGTTCTTCCTTATATGTCAAGTCAGATTGAACTTCTATTTCATTTGAAGCTATGGTATTAGCAGGATCAGATCGATACCGCTGAAGCATAGACACATGGAAGACATTATGGATCTTTTCCATCTCTAGTGGCAACGTTAACTGATATTCCACAAGTCCAACTTTCTTCAAAACTTTATAAGGTCCAATGAACCTAGGACTCAGTTTTCCTTTACGCCCAAAATGAAGTACTTTCTTCCAAGGTGATACTTTCAAGAATACCTTATCATCTACTTGAAATTCAATTTCTTTTCTTTTCAGATTGGTGTATGACTTTTGTCTGTCTGATGCCACTTTCAAATTGTGCTGAATCACTTGGACCTTTTCTTTTACTTTTTTAATCAAGTATGGGCCATGCATTTCCTGATCCCTTAACTCATACCAATTGAGGGGTGTTATGCACTTTCTTCCATACAATCCTTCATATGGTGCCATCTTGATGCTGGATTGGTAGTTGTTATTATAAGAAAATTCAAAAAGCGGTAAATACTTTTCCCAAGATCCAATAAAATCAATCACACACACTCTCAACATATCTTCCAGAATCTGAATTGTTCGCTCTGATTGACCAACAGTTTGAGGATGAAAGTAGTGCTAAAATTCAATCGGGTACCCAAAACTGCTTGCAAAGACTTCCAAAATCTTGAATTGAATCTAGGATCTCTATTAGAAACTATTGAGAGTGGAACACCATGCAGTCGTACTATCTCCTTGATATACAATTCAACATATTTCTCCATAGAGAAATCTGTTCGCACATGAATGAAATGTGCAGACTTTGTAAGACGATCCATAATTACCCAAATCAAATCCTTTTTACTCGGAGATAAAGGCAAACCCGTTACAAAATCCATCGTAATATTTTCCCATTTCCACTAAGGAATTGAGATCGGTTGCAATAATCCTAAAGGCACCTTATGCTTAGCTTTTACTTGTTGAAAATTTAAGCACTTTGATACAAATTCTGTAATGTCTCTTTTCATGCATGGCCACCAAAACTGCTCTTCAAGTCTTGATACATCTTGTTTCCTCCGGGGTACATAGTTAAGGGACTACAATATACTTCGTACAAAATATCTTGTTTTAACTCACAATTGTTAAGGACACAAACTCGATTTTTGAAATATAAACACCCATTCAAATTAATCTCAAAGTCCTTGAGTCCACCTTTGTTTCTTTGATTAAACCAAGTTAAACAATTATCGTCTTTCTTTTGCAACTCCTTAATCCTCTCTAATAATAATGGCTTCACAATTAACTCATCCATCAATGCACCATTTTCCTTGAGCATAATTTGAGCATCCAAACTACACAAAGCAGTAAAAGTCTTCAGACTAAGAGCATCCACTACCACGTTGGCTTTCTCGGGATAGTAATCAATGATTGCATCATAATCTTTCAGCAATTTCATCCACCTTCTTTGCCTCAAATTTAACTCCTTTTGCATCAACAAATACTTCAAACTCTTATGATCGGTGAAGATGTAGCAACGTTCACCATATAAATAATGTCACAAAATTTTCAATGCAAAGACTACAACTGTTAACTCAAGGTCATGCGTCAGATAATTCTTTTCATGTGGCTTAAGTTGTCTTGAAGCATAAGCCACTACCTTTCCATCTTGCATTAAAACGTAACCCAAACCATTATGGGAAGCATCACTAAAAATAGTAAAATCCTTGTTTGATTCTGGTTGCACCAACACCAGAGCTTCTGTCAGAACTTTCTTTAACGCTTCAAAGCTCTTCTGACAACAGAAGTCCATTCAAAATGCACATCATTTCTTAACAATTTGGTTAAAGGCAGAGATATCATTGAAAAGTTTTTGGTAAACCTTCGATAATAACCTGCGAGACCCAAGAAACTTAGAACTTCTGACACATTTTTCGGAATCTCCCATTCTAATACATCTTTAACTTTTTGAGGATCTACCCGAGTACCCACGGCAGAAACCACACGTCCCAAAAATGCCACTTCAGATAACAAAAACTCATACTTTGATAATTTTGCATAAAGTTTCTTGTCTTTCAACGTTTGAAGAACCACACGCAGATGAACATCATGCTCCTCCTTTGACTTTGAATATACCAAGATGTCATCAATAAAGATAACTACGAATTGATCAAGATATGGTTGAAAAATTCTATTCATCAAGTCCATAAACGTTGCAGCTGCGTTAGTTAACCCGAATGACATTACTACAAATTCGTAATGACAATACCAAGTCCTAAACGCCGATTTTGGAACATTTTTTTCTTGGATCTGCAACTGCTGATACCTTGAACGCAAATCAATCTTTGAAAACACTGTCGCTCCTTTGAGTTGATCAAATAAATCATCGATCCTTGGAAAAGGATACTTGTTCTTTATGGTCACCTTGTTAAGTTGACGATAATCATTATAAAGGCTCATTGAATCATATTTCTTGTTTACGAATAACACTAGAGCACCCCAAGGTGACACACTAGGTCTAATAAATTCTTTATCTAAAAGCTCTTGCAATTGAGCCTTTAACTCTTTCAAGCCATCCTATAAGGAGCCATTGAAATTGGTGTTGATTCTGACATTACTTCAATCTGGAATTCAACCTCCTTATCTAGAGGTAACCCAGGTAACTCATCCAGAAATACTTTTGGAAACTCTGTGATTGTCGAAATATCTTCAAACTTCTTTTCTTTGACTCTTGTATAAATTATATTAGCCATATACGCTTGAATCCTTGTAGCATCAACTTCCGGGCCGACATCAACGATATCACATTAGCTAAGGGAATATTCTTTCGCTGACACTAACTTCCAATTCATCAAGACTTGTTAACTGAACTCGCTTAAGTTAACAATCCACGTTGGCATGGTAATGATATAACCAATTCATTCTTAGAATAACCTCAAACTCGTCAAAAGGTAATTCCATTAGATTAGCAGGGAATTCAATTCCCTGAATCTATATGGAACACCCTTGACAGATCTATCTCACCCGAGCACTATGTCATAATGGATTGGTCACAATCACCTCACTACGAATAGGCTCTACATAATACTCAATTTTTTAACTAGCTTACTACTAACATAGAAATAATTCGATCCCGGATCAATCAAAACTAAGATATATTTATCAACTATCTGAAAAGTACCTACAATGATTTCAGGATCATCACAATCTTCACTAGTCTTCAAATTGTACACCTAAGCGGTAGAATGCACTTCAGGTTGAGTGGTCCACTCAGATTGATTCATTCCTCTTCCTTGACCTCTACCTCTCATCGGTGCAACCGTTGACCTCTCAGTTTGGGCAGGCTCCCCCGTCATCATTGGGCAGTCTCGAATAAAATGCTTTACCTCGCCACACTTAAAACAAGCTATGAAAACCCTTTTGCAAACTCCACTATGGTTCTTCTCATAGTATTGATATTGTTTCAGCTTGTCCACTCTGGATTCCACATAATAAGTTTGTCTTGCTCTTCCCAGGTTGGATCCTCTATCAGAGGATGCTGCGGATTCGACTCTAGTCTGAGGTCGGGAACTCGAACCTCTACTCTTCTTTGATTGAGAAGAACAGGATGACGCACCAGAGCTATTATTCCATTGCGTTCGTTGCTCCATAAACCTTTCATTTTGAGCTCACTCCAAAGCTTTAGCTCGGTTCATAACCTCTTGGAAGGAAGAGAGGTTGAGTGCCAACAACTCTTTCAATCTGGGTCATAAACCCTCCACAAACCAATCACAATAGTTTTTCTCTGTAGTGACCAACTCTGTAGCAAAACGACTCAACTTGTTGAATTCGTACTCGAACTCATACACCGTGTGATTCCATTGTTTTAAACTCATAAATTCATGCTTCATCTGACGGATGAACTAATCCCCTATATATTTGTTCTTAAACCCCTACAGAAAGATGAACCAAGTCACTTGATCCCTTGAAGCTCTTATCGTTACATCCGACCACCAAATTTTGGCTTGACCTCTTAATAACGAAACTGCACCATCCAATTTCTCCACTTTAGCACTATGGAGGTTCTCTAACTTCACATTCAAATCATTGAGCCATATATCGGCGACAACTGAACCTTCTTCAGCTTCTCCCATAAATTCAGGCGCTCCTAAACTTCTTAGTTCTTTAGGGACATTCATCTTAGGGGCTGAGGATGCAGACAGTTGAAAATGCATCAGGATTGCATCCAACATCTGAAAGAAGGTCCCCTGATCTTGCACAGGCACTCCAGGTTGTGCCTGCTCCTCTTCCTGCCTGCTCGGGGCAGGTGAGTTACTACTCTCCTCCATTTTATCTCCCGCATCACTTCGGGCTCAAGGTTTGACATCGATTAAGATCAATTTACTAAATGAATTAGTAAGGATAACATATTGATCACCTTATCAGATCAGAAAGACTTTACTAAAAATTGGCATGTACACTTTTTAAAACCAAAAACATCTTTATTTCGAACTTAAAACCACTTAAACCATAGCTCTAATACCATTAAATGTAACAACTCTGACCCATATCCGACCTGGATACGAATCCAAGGTGTTACATTTGACTTTTCAAAACATATGCAATTCACAAATATGAACATAATTAAAAATTTTAATCAAAATAAAAAGGTATAACCTCCTTAATAAGATCTTCATTACACATACATTTTTACATAAAATCTTAACAATTTATATAAAACCAAAATATAGGAGTCTACAAAATCGATCAGAGCATTTCAAACTAAAAGTATAATATATGCCAATAGCTTACAAAATTAACACAAAAACCTACATTTAATTTGTCCTAATTTGATCTTCCAGTGATATGCTATCCTCCACAACTCAGACCTCTGCTTTCTTCAAACCTATGCATGAGAAAATTACATGCTAAGTTGATGACAAACCTAATTTGTCCTAATTAGTTTATAAAGAGTTGCAACTTATTTTCCATATCCCAAAGGTATACTTATGCATATACATATATCACTTTATTTAGCTTGATTTCAAATGCCCAAGGTATACTACTGAGAACTCTAGGTATTTGAGTACTATAAGGTTGTGCACTAATATTGTCACCACAACTCGTAATTTTCATCGAAGTGCCACATAATTATCCCGAAGGACCACATAGGTTTGTACTGAAGGGCCACATAGGGTTGCACCGAAGTGCCACATATTTATCCCGAAGGACCACATAAAACCCTCGACTCTTGGCATGCCAACTATACCTCTAATTCTCATACATATACTTTGGACTATTAATCACATAATTTTTTTCAATCATTATTCAAAGTGTTTCTTATTCACATAACATCTCTCTCATCGAGCCTTTTCACATTCACTTGTTCCAAAGTTCACATCTCCATAGTTATATAACCATAAAACATAACTTACATAATATAAATCGAATAACATATTACAATATAACATAAAAGAAATAATAAAGTTTTTGATCGAAAACATTGAGGTTGGCTTATCGCAAGCTTTCCTTAATTCTGTTACAAAATTGAAAATTCGCACTCACCTTTGCCTCACTGAAGTCTAATCCAAATCCTTAACCTTTTCAAATAGATTCTCAAAATGTCGAGCTGACCGAAAGTTGATTACGTTCAATCACTACAAAAAATAATCAAAAATAAATATCTTTCTTCGAATCATTTATATCCAATCAGAATAACTTATGATGAAAGAAACTCTTACTTTTCATTTCATGCCTAGAAGTATCGGTACTACCCCTCCAGTACCGATACTTCCCATCAAGGGTATCGATACATACTCAAGGTACCGATACCGATTTGACATTATGTAAACACATCTTAAAAATGGTATCGATACCATGCTCTTGGTATTGATACTACCCTCACAGTATCGATACGCTCACAACTGGTATCGATACTACCCTTAATAATTATACAGATTTATCCTTTGAAGTATCGGTATTGTTCTAATGGTACCGATACTCGAAGCCTGAAATTACCATTTTTACTTCGAGAATCACCCAAAAATCCTCTCAAATCTATTATATCACAATTCCTTAAGCCTTTAAACTAAAATGCTTTCATTCAAACCAGCTTGTCATCAATTACTACTCTTAAACATACCAAATTCTCACTAAAACACTTACATTTAAGAATCATACCATGTTTTCAATCAAGCTCTTAATCATTTCTTATACTCCTAACCCTTTAATTAGCTCATTGACAATTCAAATATCTCATTAAAACTTCAAAAACTACTCCATATCAAAATTTCATTTCTAAATCCATTTTATAAATCTCGGCCTAATTTGCTCATCTTGTTATTTTAATCCTATATAAGCTTTCCATAAGCTTATATAATACACAAACTTTCATTACCAAACCAAAAGTTAAAGGGAAACCATAGATTTCATAATCTTACCTTTAGGAGTGGAGCTCATGTAGAAAAAGAAGAGAAAAAGGAAGGAGTTTCAAGATAACTCCGAAATCCCACGTGTCAATCACCTAATAAATGAGATACTTATCCTTTAATATGAAAAAACCATATGGCCCTCTCTAATATATCAAATTTTCCATCAAGTCCTACACAGAAATTCCACCATAAACCATAGAATTTATCAAATTTTTCTAATTCAATCACCAAGTTTAAAATTATTACATTTTAACCACTGTCCCGATAATTAGGATATTACAGAACCCTAAGATTTTAATGAAGTTAGCCCCCCCAGAATTATCTTTACATCATGCACCCAAATTGAAACTTAAAACTTTGTTATCGCATTGAAATATGCTTACCTATGTAGTTATGAGACTTTACTAGTGATAGTTTCTGCTAGTCTAACCTCTGAGCAAGAGAATAGTTTGTTAAATGTTTTGCCACAGAACAAAAAAGCTCTCGGGTGGACCATGACAGACTTGAAGGGAATCAACCCTACCATATACATGCACATGATCAACTTAGAAGACAGTCATAGCACTTAAGTGGAACCATAAAGAATACTAAACCCGATCATGAAAAAGGTAGTCATGAAGGAAATCATAAAATGGTTGGATGCGGGAGTGATTTATCCAATATCCGATAGCTCATGGGTTTATCCAGTGCAGTGTGTGCCAAAGAAGGTTGGACTAATCGTGGTCAAAAATTAAAATGATTAGATTTTAACTACTAGAGCAGTCACGGGCTGGCATATATGTATGGACTATAGGAAGCTCAATAAAGCCACAAAGTAATACCACTTTCCCCTTCCTTTTATTGACCAAATACTTGATAGGCTAGCAGGAAAAATATTTGACTGTTTCCTTGATGGATATTCAAGATACAATCAAATAGCCATAGCAGCAGAGGATCAAGAGAATACTACTTTCACATGCCCATACGGTATCTATGAATTTAGACGAATGTTGTTCAGGCTATGTAATGCTCCAGCTACCTTTCAGAGATGTACGATGGCCATTTTTTCGGACATGGTGGAAGATTGCATGGAAATATTTATGGATAACTTCTCCGTCTTAGACGATGATTTCAACCGATGTCTCGACAACTTGTCTAAAGTATTGAAATGATTTGAATAAGCCAACCTAGTACTAAATTGGGAGAAATGCCATTTAATGGTAACCGAGGGAATAATGTTGGGTCACAAAAATTTCTTGTCAAGGCATTGAAGTCGATAGAGCCAAGGTAGAAGTAATCGATAACCTATCTCCACCCACCACATGAGAGGCGTACGCAGTTTCCTTGGACATGCAAGCTTCTAC